CTGTATCAGAAACAATGTGGCCAGCAGGAGCAGGGAGGTGATCATGTCCCTGTACTCGGCATTGGTGAGGCCGCACCTCGAATGCTGTGTGCAGTTTTGGGCACCTCACTACAAGAAAGACACTGAGGTGTTGGACAGAGTGCAGAGAGGGGGAACAATGCATCCTGGCCTGTATCAGAAACAATGTGGCCAGCAGGAGCAGGGAGGTGATCCTGCCCCTGTACTCAGCACTGGTGAGGCCACACCTCGAACACTGTGTTCAGTTTTGGGCCCCTCACTGCAAGAAGGACATTGAGGTGCTGGAGCGTGTCCAGAGAAGGGCAATGAAGACGGTGAAGGGTCTGGAGAACAGGTCGTGTGAGGAGCAGCTGAGGGAACTGGAGTTGTTTAGTCTGGAGAAGAGGAGGCTGAGGGGAGACCTTATCGCTCTCTACAGCTACCTGAAAGGGGGTTGCAGTGAGGTGGGTGTTGGTCTCTTCTCCCAAGTAATCAGTGATAGGACAAGAGGAAATGGCCTCAAGTTGGGCCAGGGGAGGTTTAGACTGGACATTACAAAGAATTTCTTTACTGAAAGAGTGGTCAAACACTGGAACAGGCTGCCCAGGGAAGTGGTGGAGTCACCGTCTCTAGAGGTGTCCAAAAACCATGTAGATGTGGCACTTCAGGACATGGTTTATTGGGCATGGTGGTGTTGGGTTGACAGTTGGGCTTGATGATCTTACAGCTCTCTTCCAACCTTAATGATTCTATCCTATGATTCTGTAAGTGCTTCATTTTAAGTAGGTATAAACATAGTGGATTCAATCATTGACAAAATCAAGAGGGCTCTGGTTCAACAACAGAACATGACTTCGTTTCGTAGTATAGGGCTGCCAAAGGGAGCGCACACAGGCTTCCCTGAACTTCTGAGTGCACCATGTTCCTAAACAACCCACACCTGTATTTATTTTTGGCAGATTTCAGTCCCTAATAACAAACACATGAACTTTCCAAAAAATGTAGGGTTTCTCTTTGCCAAACAAAATGGCAAAATGATGAAAAGAATCATTTCCTGATTTAAGAAAAAACAAATCCTGTATTTAAGAGTTAATATACATCACCAAATAGGGTGTACATTTTTCCATTGTTTACTGTGCCAAGATGCATTTTAGTTATTGACTGATCATTGCTATATCAGGTCCTTCAGTGTATGCACCATGCAAACTGTGGCATCTAAGACAAGCCAGTGAAAACAAGATCAGAAACACACACATCATCCTCCACCAAAAAGCTTCTACCATATTACAAGTAGCTATTACTTGGTCAGTGACTATTTTTCTCCCTCATCCCCAGATTCTGAAAATTAGAGTTCAACGGTCCTCAAGAGACAACTTTTTGTATTTGAAGTTAAGCTCCTTTTAACTACAGGATATCAAGATAATCTTCCTGTAAGAATGTGTTTCAATCTTTCTGAGCACTGAATGTTAATAAAATTAAATCTCTTCTGGAGCTTTGTTGCAGAGATGTTCTCAGGATGAATTCTAAGGTTAACACCAACAGTCATATTGCTTACAGTCGCTCTGCAAAAACTTACACTCCACCTTCTGCCTACTCATGCAGTAGGTGAATGCAACAAAGACTATAGCAAGCGGCCCTCCATGGATAACAGAAAGATTATCTTCTATAACAGGTTAGAGAAATTTAATTACTACAAAATAAAGTTTGGGTGGACAGAAGCAAAAGGAGATTTACATATAAAGTGTAATCTAAATTTTAGGACAGAAGACTCAGTTAAAATTAAAACATTTATGTTATTAAAGCATTTAAATTTTAATCTGAGAACAATCAGATAATACTGAATGCTATTATCTAAAAAATCCAGGGAAAATATATTAAGCATACCCTGTGTTCTGGATTCAACACATTCTTAAAAAAAAAGAAAACAAAATACAATAGAATGGACACTCCAGTTGAAGAACGTTAATGAACTGAGTGCTGACCTACAGAAGTATCAGAATCGTTGTTTCAAAACAAAATTTAAGACCCAGTTCTTTTTGAGAAATTGTTTTCTTATGAGTGGCAGAAGTCCATCACACTGAGTGCTTTAGTTGTCGTATTACCAGGTTATATACATGTTACTTTGCTTAGTAAGAAAGACATCATTATTGTCTGGTTATTGTCTGCTTAGCTCTAAAACACAATTAAACCAAAGTACTTGCTGAAGATGTTTCTTTACAACACAGCAAAATATTTGCTTCCCTTAAACTCATTCAGAAGCTGCCAGGATGCCAATACCAGCTGACCTTTGAAATTTCATGATGCAAAGTTTCTATTCAAAATATTAAATATGCCTTTTCTAAAAATAAATTGGACCAGAAACAGCTATTACTTGCAACGTACATTTTAGTATCCCAACTGAGATAACAAGTTTTAGACATGCTGGTCTCAGCAAACTGACTATTTAATTGCTTTTATAGAAATCCCACAATAAAAACATTTTTAAGGCAGCTGTTGGCTAAAACATCAAAGCTCAGCTTGGACTAACATTTCTTCAATTGACTGGCTCAGCTGGGGTACACGAAGCATGCAGCAGATAAGGTAAACTTCACTTAATGGCAACCCTTGGTCTAATCAAGTTTATTCTGTCAAGGCAAAAAGCAATACATAATAAGGCATACTGTGCTCCACAATAAACTATTCTGGATTGGGGGGCCCTTTTATTAAGAAGTGTAATAAAAATTAAGGCTTTCATAAACTATAAAAAGAGAATAAAGCAATCTTAACTGTGCCATACAATATCCTTTTTGGTATATAGAAAAAAAATCCATATTAGGAAAGCAGGAAAATGATCACACAGCATTCCCAGCTGTTGTGCATGTTCGAGGGCTCTTTAGTTAAGTGTCGATTTGTACAGCAGTGTGCACATCTCTGGCCTTACAACACGCACATCAAGGCTCGTGAGCCTTCCATCACTGCACCACAGTGTAACTCTCTTCTACCGAGAGGAAATGGCACAAAAATTACACAGGTCTGGTCCCCTGCCAATTAGAGTTGGGAAAAAATCTCTTACAGATCCATGGATATCTGACATGACTTGCACACCAGGGAACAGACCCAACTCTGAAGATACCTGAACATTACCATAATATTCAATAAGTTTCACAGTTCTCGCATTTCTCTTAGTAGATCCTTAGGGAAGAAAAAAAACCCCCAACATCCAGCAAGGCAGCTTAACATCTAGTCATTGTTTGTGAGTAGAATATACTTATTTTCAATCTATAAACTTCAGGTGTGTTTTATCCTGAGGATATCCTACCTCCACCCAGGAGAATGTTACTTTTCGTTGTATACAAGAACTTCCTAGCAAGAAAGAGATAGTACCATCAATTCATCCAAGATGAAATGCAACAGCTTCACCTGTGAATCACTAGGAACCCAAATCCCAGCTCAATTCCCATAGTCTCACTGCAGCTCTGTCCTCAAACTACTTTTTTTCTTTTCTTCAAGATAAACTCATTTTATAGAGAGGAAGAAAAGAACTGATCGACAGTCCTTCCTAAAGCAAATCCCTTCACCATTTCTTCATAAGAGAATGAGCAGTAAGTCAAAGTGTCCATTGCAGTCCCTCTAACAAAGCCAAGCTCTCCCAGGACGGATAGGGATACAAATAAATACAGGGCCTACTACTGCACAGTAAATAGAGAGCTTCAATCACAACACTTCTTAATTACAGATTCCCAAATGATGGTGCAGAAGTCATTTCAACAGCAATGTCAAGTAAAAAACAGGGCACCAGCTCCTGTGCCTGCAAAGACTCTTATCCGAAGTCTGGGAACCAGCGGCTCTACACTGGCCTCTGCCCACAGCGTGCAACCAGGTAGGACTAGCAGCTGCACAAAGCAACAGCTCCCGGCTGCCTGACCCCACGTCCACATCAGGAAGGACCCAGCCAATTTTGGAGCCTCCACCTCTAGCTCAGTACACGCAACCAAGTCCAGAGAGGGTCAGGAGGGGAGCCCCGCCGGCAAGGAGAGGATAGGACTACAGACCCCATTTATTGGGGTAAGAAATGTTGTAGGAGGGTACAGAAAAAAGGTGGTTGGGACAGCCGTTTGTGGGGCTGTCATAAAAGAAACATGAGAATGGGGTTGTGGAGAGATGGAGAGATGGATGTGGATCTTCTTTGAGACTGACTGCCAGAGAGCAGAGAGCTGCTACCACCAGCGCTGGCACGCATGTCTGCGAGCTTTACGATACACTATCACTACAAAATAGATTGTCAGACACGCCAACAGAATAAAACAGAAGATATATTTCATTTACCTCCAAGCATAGATCCAGAATCACTGACAAAAAGGAAAATGTATTTTAGCAGCTACAATACACACTACTAGAGACAGCTTTCATTGTCAAAACTCCACTTGAATTTGGACCAATAAATGGAGACTCCATTCACAGGTCAAGCAACATCTTAACAGCTTACAAGACAGATGAACACTACATACATGGACGAGGCAGGTCCTTTAAAAGCCTGTTTGTGATATATAATTAATTACACCAGTTTTCCTTTATTTCTGCAAGTCATCTGTTTCTTTCCCTTCTATACTCTTTTAATTATATCAAATTGCTGGTATGGTTAACACTAAATTACAGGTTCAACTCTCTGCTCTCACCAAACACAAAACAAATGCCTTCCCTGCACATTTTTTTAAAAAACAGTATGCATCAAGGAGACACCAAGCAAATATTATTAGAGGGGAAAATGCTGGAGAGGACAGACTAGAACTGTGAAGAAATTAAACCCATTTCTACTTAATAGGGCTACTTTAGTGGAGGAGGACTCCAGGACAAAACTTCTCAGGAGTACTTCTCACAGATTTCTCAGTCCCTAAAGCCAATAAAATTAAGGGACTCTTTAATACTAAATACTAAATCATATTTGTGACACAAGAATTAAAGTATAAAATGTGGGCAACTACCCAGTAAACCAGAAGTAGCAATTTATCAAGTAGAATACCTACAGGATCTACAGGCGGCAAGAGGTCTTTTTTCTCTTGTTCGTCTTCCTCTTCATCTGTGCTATATTCTTCCATTGTTTCTCCACTTGCAAAATGAATAACCCTCCTCGGAATTTTCTTCTTCTTTCCTATGACACCCAGCTCCACATTCTCAAAGCCTCTATCTCCATTTGCAAGTTGCTATAAAGAAGAAAAAAAATTATCTCAAGTATTTGCTTCTGGAACTGGAAAAGTTCCGCCTTAAAAAAAATAATGAAGAGCTATTTAAAATATTTCAGATTGATTAGCAGACACAATGGACATTTGCAAGAGCTTGGCTGTAGGTAAAAGGTAAGACTGAAACATTACTGTTTGCAGATATGTAAAAACTGATCGCTTCACTAAAAGTAACAAGAAGGTAAGTGCCTTCACTTCAGAATGGACAGGTGGTATTAAAAACACCTATTCCAAAAGAGCACCGTGTTATGTAGGAGTTTCTTAGCAGGATACTTTTCTTTAAACAATTTGATGTGCACACAAATATCGTAGGTTTTGGAGTGAATATATAGTGAAATTAATCAAGTTGTTCATAGGCTGTAGCCACCTCTTTGCAAGCTTAGGCAGACACCTCTAGCACAGAAGAGAACTGAATGAAGGATAACTAAGGGGCCAGGCTCAAGCTTTAAAAAGATGCATCAAGGAGTCTGCCTCTGTGGTCGCTATCAGCCATCACAATTAGCACAAGGGACCACGCTAAAAGAACAACACTTAGTTTTGTGGCTAAGGACATATAAAAAAGAGAAGTACAATGTCTGGGTTTGTTTTTTCAGCTGCTGAATACTACAATGCAGTCTTTGGGTCACAAGCGTTACAAAAATATACTTCTGTTCAAAGGCCAATCAATAATTTTTTAGGGTAGTAACTCCTGCAGCCAGAGAAATTCAGTAAGGTTTTGTGCTGTATCTATCAAAACAGAGACTTCACCTTGGTAGAGCTTTTAGACACTAGTACATCAAATGCATAACACTGTTTTGAAAACACTTCTGTCACACAGAGAAGGACATAGAAGTTAGGAAATGCCATCCACATGGTTTTAATGTACCACAAAGGTTTTTAAAAATGCACAAGCCCATGTAACTTAAAAATTATAAGGAATGAGACATGTGTATGTGTACACAGAATCCAGGCTGCTTAAAATGGGCACGTTCCAATGTTTGACTTCTTGTCTATGCAACCTTAATTGTCTCCACAGAGACTATTCAAAATTATTTATAAAAATACATATTTTATCACATAGTTGTAAGACATCCCATAATCATGGCAAGCACAGCATCACCGTTCCCATCTCTTATGCCAGGTTATGTAGCTTAGCTTTACTGTGCAAACAGGCTCGGTTAGCTGGGAAAGCCAGTGGGCACGGCAGAGAGGGGCAGAAGGGGGCTGTGGGGAGCAGAATGGCTTCCTGCATTCCAGGCAGAGATTCTTCTCGTGCCCACAGAGAAGAGGGAGGGAAGGTAAAGATCACGTGCCGAGCTCTACAGCGTGGAGAGGGAGTGCACACATTCATCATCTCTCCCAGCCCTTGTACCACCGCTTCTCAAAACTGCAAGTCATCTCAGCCTCCCCTAGCATCCCTTTAGCTACCATGGCACATTGTGGACACTTTCCTGGATGAGCAGAGCAGAAGCAAGTGGCGAGTCTTCAATGGGGTAATTCAGCTGAAACAGCATCACATTTTCATGCAGAATTACATTTTCACATAGAAAGACAAAACTGACTATCCCGGGCCCAGCGCACTCTCTCTGCCGTGTTTCAACCCTGGGAACAGAGCAGGAGCAGAACACCAAAGCTACAAAAATACGAATACTGAAAACAGCGAAGCAGCCTACACACAGGGAGCGCTCCTTGATGCTGCCATAAAAGTGGGCGCCACTCACTGCGACTCAATTCTGTATTTTTTGGAGCAAAGAGCACCACAGAATCAGCCTTTTATGAACGTTTCACACTCCTTTATTGACATCGTACAATGATGCCATTTTTCATGTTTAGTCACAGTGCTAAAGAGCACTATTTCTTGCAACACAGCATCACAAATATTACTGTGATTAATAACAGCATGCAACATGAGCCTCTCCTTAGAGCTTCTCAAAAGGCACAGACTCTTTATCTGATTTTGGCTCATTTAACTCAAACGCTTCAAATATTTTAATTTAGAAAAAAATCATAGTTAATATTTAAAGTTTAAAAAGCAGGCTTTAATTCCCTGCACACCCATCCCACACTCCACTTACACTACCTACACTAAGCAGCTCCGCATAGCTGGTACTGGCACAAAGTTTCAGACAAATACAGTAGTTGAAGATAGTAAGGATTCATCAAGGAACAATGAATCCAGTTTCCCTTAGTAACCTGGTTCAGGGGCCAAAATTATTAAGTAAAATAATTATAAGTAATACATATCAGCTGTTGCTTTGGTTACTACCTAGTCAACAGACCTGGATGCAGGTTTTAGTCATGACTGTAGTATTTGTCCTTTTAATTTTTACATGCACAATAAAAGCCAACTCTCCCAGCTGAAAGACAGTTCAGTAAAGTTTGTGTTTCCAAAACTGTGGCAATGCAGATCTATTCTGGAATTGTCAGTAGACTCGCTTTATAGCTCAAATGTGACAGTATTTCCTGTTTGAGGCTTATACTATCAATCTTCCTTTACGAATTTGATCTTCTTTTCCAGTTCAAGAAGTTGTTACAAAGATCGTTCTGCTAGTCCACAGCTTTAGTCAGGTTGGCACCGCTTTTTTTTTTTACAGACTCGTCCCTCTCCAACACGTATCTGGGTCTTGAAAGACGCAGCATTCGTCTTAACCTCACGTCATAAAAGTATTTACTTCAGCTTCTATTCCAGCAATTATTAGACACAAAGTCCAGCCACCTTTGTGCTGTCGCCACACTAGCTAAGGCTCTTAAGGTACTCAGTGAAAGCAACTTCCTTTTCATTCAGATGCCCTGTTGGAATTCTTCTTGGCTTTATGGCACTCACGCAAACCTTGCCTGTCAGGAAGTCGGCGTCTGAAACTGCTGCTCCTTGTCTACCCTCCTCACACCCACTCTCTTATCTCACCCTTTGGCCAGAAACAGAGAGAGCAGGGCACATTTTGACAGTGTTGGTACAATACCCAGCACAATAGGATTTCAGTCGACATCCAAACTGCCAAAATAAATAAACTACAATTAAGGATGAGGTGTGCCAGGACAGCTTCAGGTAAGCTAGGAGAGCTCACACAACTAGCATTAATTAGGTGGTGGAGTAGCATAAAGTTTCATCAAGGTTAGGAAAAAGAAAAGTGAAAAGTAATAGGGAGAGCAGGCTTTGGCATCTTTTAATCTGACAGACTCAGGTATCCTTATGAGAACTTATGACCCAAAATGCCAAAGTCTCCTATGCTCGCTCCTCCTCAGTAATTCTATTTGCACAGAGGTACTGACCTGACAGTGCTAGTTACTAGAAGGCTGGTAATAGCTAACAAGAAACATTTGTACCTATGCAACATTTCTACCTATGCCATCTTCCCTGCCTTACCAATTTCATGTGTGTTAACTTTTTTTGGCTAGGGTTTTTGGGGGTTTGTTTGGGTTTGGTGTCGTGGTTTTTGGTTTTGTTTTTGTTTTTGTTTTTATATTGCTTGACTTTCCACCCTGGTGTTTCAACTAAAATTAAACAGCAAGTCTTTCTGAAACAGAAGACAACAGAATAATAGAGTCAGAGGACGACTGCAAGACACCTTCGGAATAACAAGCCCTGGATAGGCACCAAAGTCGTATGCAGTGCATAAAGGATCCAACGTGCGGCCGAGGTCATCGCGAGGGACATCAGCAGCAGGGGCAGGAGAGCTCGCTAGGTTACAGTCTAATTAAGAGCTGGTGTCCCCGACCATCTCCAAGGCCTTTGCGAGCCTGACAGTGCAGAGGAAAGCGGAAACCTGTCTCCATTTACTATTTATCAGGCTCGTTTGTAAGAGACATTATCTGCCGGTGAACAGGAGACACCGGATACACGCGTGCCCGCCGCGCTGACTGTAATTACCGAGCGCTGGAAACGACCGATGGACGGACGGATGGACGGACGGACGGAC